GTGCTTCAAACATCTCGACGCGCTCTTCCCAACCAGGCTTGACTCTCAGGCAGTGGTGGCATGGCAGAGTTTTGAAGCTCAGATCAATATAACATTCCAAACGCATGTTCGTACAGGACGTTCAGGAATTGGCAAGAAGCAATTGCAACTTAGGAGTTCACTTCTATGATCAGAGCCATCTTAAATATATTTGAGCTTTGGCCGGCCACAAAAAAGACACTCAGAGGCAGATGCTCATAGGAGCAGAAAGATGGCACCCAAACTGCATTGACACCGTTTCAGATACCAATGTTGGCGGCAGAGCACTTGACTTTTGTATAAGAAAGGGAGCACGGCAACTGTTCGGGCTTGAAAAAGTCCTCAGAGGAAACCATCTGAAATTCCTGGCAGATTGACTTCTTCGCCTGGCCGCCACGCAAGGATCGAAGCACCGAAATGTGAAACAAAGGTGGTTGGTTGCTGTACGCTGGTTTGTTTGTAAGTTTCGAAAACAGTTTCATAGTAGCTGTATTGGCAGTTTCGCACAGCTGTTCTTGAACACTTGTTTGTTTGTGGTTCTGGGGATGTCATTCACTTTGCTCTGATGATTGCCAAAGCGCCGAGCAATGGGGCGAAAGTCCAACAACTTGCCTGCAAGGCTGGACAGGTTTACCTGGACTTCGCTCTTCAACAGATTTGATGTTGATTTAGTAAATGGTGCCACCATGTTCTTGGCGGTGCCTGGTCCGTGGGCTCTCCAACAACCTACTCACTAGACATGCAAAGTCAATGGTCTCTATGTGCTGCCCTTGGAGAGGCTAGGGCCTGACCAGGCCCCTGACCTTGTATGCCCTTGAGGGATTTATCTTGTTAATTGTGGTTATGGTCGCGTTGCTGTCTACTCCAATTTCTTTGCTCAACTTGAAGAATCCATCCTGTGGAATCGAGGCTTGCTCGGAAGAAGAAGATCAAGGCCGCTGATGTCCAGATACTTCCGGCTGAACATTTCTTCCGGGTAGAACATTTTAGGGAACCTGCTGCAAATTTTGGGGATGCGGGCCAAGCAAGTGATGGGTCTTCTTGAGAACTCCTGGAAGAAGCGTTTCCTGAATCTCTGGATGTTCTGAGACGACTGTTGTTCGTTGTTTGTTGAGCTGCCAACCCTTTTTAAGTGAAACAGTCGTTTTCTGGCTTGTTGCAGCTAGCCTGCACACATATGCGCACAAAACTTGCAGAGAACGTACAAGTAGTCTTGTTTTCCTTTGAGGACAAGAACAATTTGCAGATCCAAGGCAGAGCTGGACTTGGAAGGCCGTAATGTTTTTTTCTTTAAGCCCGTGGCCCTGCTTCCTTACGTAACCAAGTACGCACCTACTTAATTGAGTGAGGGAGTAATTCGCTACTAGCAATACTTAAGCTTCTAATAACTGGACGCAGGATAGCTCACGCTTCTTCAAGGAAGCTCTCCCCCACTCTCAGGCGGGGTGAGCTTCCTTGAAGAAGTGCTCGCACTAATGATTTGGTTCCTAGATCTTTTAAAAGGAAGCTTAACAGATCGAGTTCACTGCCTCTGGACCTCTGCATCTGACCTGGAATTGGAAGCTATGTTTTCATTCTTTGTGTTGTATCATGTAGAAGGACGCATGATACATCTGACAACGTGCAGCTGGCCGATTTTCGGTTGTATATATATTAATATATATGTAAATTCGGCCCCGTATTTAAAGAGGAAGGCCCCGTTTAGCTATGTTCATCCGCAGCGTTGGCTCACAGCCTATGTGGGGACACGCCCAGGCGTGTTCCTGCACGCTGTGCCCGTCCATCCGGCGATTGCACCGCCTGGTGGGAGAGGGCACTCGACTGGCTGAAGCCGACCTTTTCGTCGGTTACGCGACAGTTAAGGTCCGGAACGTCCTCGGGGAGCTCGAGGATTTTCTGGACGTGCGTCGCCCGAGGGTAGGGGAGGGGCCGGCGCCCCCTCCTCCCGAGGGCGGTGCTTCAAGCGGTGGCTCAGCGGACAAGCACTTCAAGGTGAGAAGAATCCGAGCACCGCGAAGGAAGAGGCATCGAGGCAGCGAGAGGCACCAGAGAAAAGGGAAGAGGCACCCAAAGAACGCAAGGCACGTCCCATTTTTGAAGGAGAAGGAGGCAGCAAAGAAGATCAGGAAAAGGCAGCCCGCACTGTGTCCGCCAAGAGGCGATCAGCTCCAAGAGACCAAGACAGCAGAGAATCTCCAAGGGCGAGGTTGAGGTGAAGAGTGAAGAGGAGGCTCCGGATTACAGCGCAGAAGACAAAAGGGAGGACTATCACGGCGATAGGAAGGTCAGTGGAGTGTCTCCCAGCCGTGAGGATCGAGAGGAGAAAAGAGAGGAGAGTCCAGCCCCGAAGAAAAGGAGACATCATCATCGCTCAAGGTCACGAAGAAGGAGAAGGGATAGGAGTCAAGAGAGGTCATCGTGGCGTGGAGAAGAGCGGGGAAGAAGAAAGGCCGCTAGATGCCTCCCCGGCCATGGGAGACAGGAGACCAGCATTGAGAAGAGGAAGAGATCCACGTGAAGCAGAGGTTGGAGGTCGAGGAGTTCGTCGTCGGCCAGCTGGAGAGCGAGGGTGTTCCAGGCTTTGAGGACGGAGGAGCTGTTGAGGCCTGTTCTCTCCCAGTGGGAGTCTTGGCCCCGGGATTGAGACTCCTGAAAGAAGTATTGGGGCCGCGACATCAATTTGGCCTTCGAGGTGGAGTCCGTCCAGATCCAAGGAGGAGCGCTGGAGGTGTTGTGCCAGGTCAGTGGAACAGAGGACGAAGGGTTTCTACGATGGCTCCACGTGAAGAGGGTTCAGAGGCGGGGCCCTGCCGATCCAGGCTGGGTAGCGGCGTGGAGGAGCTCAGGCGCCTGGCCGAACGGTCCGACGCGGTAGCGCAGGCGGGCGGAGGAGGCCCTGCAGCCGTGGCCGAAGCAGTTCCAGGACCCGTCGACAAGGAGGAGGAGAAGGAGTCAAGCGACAGCAGCGAGTCAAGAAAGAAGAAAAAGCGCAAGAAGAAAAAGAAATCCTTCAAGGTGAAAGGGCGAAAGGAGTATGGGACGCTGTTTGGAGGAACAGGGTTGGACCAGGACCCGAAGACAAGAAAGAAAGTCTCGAGGTTGGCAAGGAAAGCCGTCAAGAAGAAGGGCAAGGGTTCCAAAAGGAAAGGGCAAGAGCAAAGAGAAGGATGGCAAGAACAAAGGAGGAGGCGATCGAGGACGAGGCGACAAAGCGGAGAAGTGACCGGAGAGGAGCCTTTGGATGAGGAAGAGATCTCAGAGGAGCTGAAAAGAGTGCGAAGGGAGATGCCTGTGAGAAAGGAAGGCGCCGACAGACCTTGACGTTGGGGGCGCCTAACTTTGACCTCCTGGAGAAGCGTGACTCACGATTGGCGGACAAGATTCGTGGCACTCGTTCAGATTTCGTGGAGGCACTGCAGGAGGTTTATGCCAGGAAGCATGTGCCCCGTCGCCCAAAAAAGGCGGTGGCGAGAGAAGCCTGTGCTGAGGTTCAGGGAGCGGAGCTCGATGGTCACACAGGGTTGGCGTCGCCCAAGGCGGAGAAGATTGGCAAATACATTCAGTTGTGCCAGCGTGCTTCTACTTCAGGGGAAGTGCACTCAACGCCAGGCCCAGGTTGTTGCAGGTGGGTTCGTGTACTTTTGCACTTTCCGGCGGCCATTGCTTGGCACATTGAACCAAGTGTGGGTCTTCATTCAGAGCTTTGTGGACGGTCCTTTTGTACAAACCATCCCTCAGGGTGTCCGCAGCGAGCTTGCAGGGTTTTGCCTTCTTGTTCCGTTGGCGGACTTTCGGATGGGGCTGTCTGGGACTGCCACTGCGTCCGATGCTTCGACCTTGGGGGGAGGCATGACAGCCTCCACAGGTCTTACTGAAGTAGGGACAATTGCAGCAAATCTTCCCGTCAGAGGGGACGTACCGGAGTTGAGTGAGATTGCGACCGTCCTCCCGATCGGGTTGTTCGATGGCGTTGGAGGTTTACGAGTTGCGGCGGATGCCGTAGGTTTGACTAGTGGGCCATGTTTCGGTGGAGAGCCACGAGGCAGCCCGGCGTGTTGTTGAAAGTCGGTTTCCAGGGACTCTCTTCGTGAACGACGTGGCGGAGGTTTCCAAGGACATGGCCAAGATTTGGGCATGCCAGTTAGTCAGGTGAGCTTGGTCCTGGTGGGAGCCGGGCCTCCCTGTCAAGGGGTTTGCGGCTTAAATGCCGACCGCCGAGGTGCACTTAAGGACCAATTCAGTGGACATTTCCCTCATGTGGAGCGCATCACCAACTTAGTCCGAGAGTGTTTTCCCTGGGCTCAGGTTCATCGGCTCATGGAGTCAGTTGCTTCAATGGATGAGGCGGACAGGGTGGTGATGAGTCAGTCAGCTGGGAGTACGCCAGTTCCCCCCCGACGCCTCCGGAGTGATGGGGTGCCGGCGACCTCGCCTGTAGTGGCCCACGTGGGAGTTGGAAGATGGGAGTTGCTCCTCCATCTCCTCGGTCAAAGGGCAAGGGTGGGCACAAGTCACGGAGGTTACCCTACAATGCGACTACTTGATCGACGAGTTCCTGGCGCCTGGTTGTAAGAAGTGCAGTGATGAAGTCTTTCCCACCTTCGCCGCAAGTCGCCCAAGGAGAACTGTTGGACGGAGACCGGCCGGCATACAACAGTGCAATGCAGCAAGCGGAACAAGATCAGTTTCGTTTTCCTCCTTATCAATACCGTACTTCACTTTGTGTACAGGATCGAAAGGGAAACATCCGTCTTCCGGACATTGAGGAGCGAGAGGTGTTGATGGGGTTCCCCCGTGGCTATACTGTGAACTGTCTCCCCAAGTCTAAGAGGCATGGGAGTCAATGGACAGATGAGCGACTTAGTTTGATCGGGAACTCTTGGTGCGTTTTCGTCATTGCTTGGTTGCTCTACTGTCTGGGCGTGCCGCGTGGTTTGTGCAACGCGATGCCTTTGAGCAAACTCATGCGCCAGTGTAAGCCGGGAGGTGGAACTGTGCTTCAAGGCTTTCTGTTGAGG